GTGGTTACACAACGAATAACCAACCCCGGTTCAAGCGACATCTAATAACCCACAAAACAACTAAAGATTTAAAATGTGCTCATTGTGATTACGCAACCAATTATAAACCCCACTTTAGAGATCATCTCCTGACCCACAATGTCATTAAGGATTTACAGTGCAATCAGTGTAACTACCTCACTAATAATAAAGACTACTTAAGGAGGCATGTGTTAAAACATGCGGCTGCAAAGAACTTAAAATGTTCTCAGTGTGATTACGGAACCAATAATAAATCCAATTTTATATCTCATCTCCTGATTCACAAGAATGTCAAAGATTTAAAATGTGCTCAGTGTGATTTCGCAACCAATTATAAATCCAACTTTAGACGTCATCTCCTCACACACAAGAGATTGTGCGATTTAAAATGTACACAGTGTGATTATGCAACCAACTGTAAACGCAATTTGGTAACTCATCTGTTAACACACGATTCTTCCAACCGCTTTAAATGTGTCCAGTGTGATTTTGCATCCACTTACAAATCCAGTTTGAAAAAACATCTACTATCACACAATCCTATAAAGTGTTTTAAATGTGCACAATGCGATTATGCAACCAATTCTATATCTATCTTGAAAAGACATTTGTTAAGACACAGCACTGTGAAGGATTTAAAATGCAATCGGTGCGATTACGTAACTAACAATAAATCCTACTTAAAAAACCATTTGTTAACACATAAGACTGCTAAGGATTTTAATTGTGCTCACTGTGATTACGGAACCAATCATAAATCCTACGTTAAACAGCATCTCCTGAAGCACAGAGATTTTAAGGATTTAAAATGTACACAGTGCGATTATAAAACCAACTTTAAAGGCAGATTAAGATCTCATCTGTTAACACATTGGTGTAATAATCTAAGTGGTAATTCCCAAGTAAAGATTTTGAATACGCAAGAGTTTTCCAACCAATTTAAATGTGTACAGTGTGATTTTGCTTCCATTTATAAATCCGGATTGAGGAAACACATGTTGTTACACAAGACAACTAGAAAAATTTAAAATGCACTTGATGTGAATACACAACCAATAATAATAAATATCATTTGAAAAGATATCTGTTCAAAGATTTGAAAATGTAGTTTCAAAACAAATAATAGGTAACTCCAATTTTTGGAGAAATGTGCGGACAACAAATTTTGAATGTTTCATGTTGTACTTTTACATCTCAATTTATTATGTTTACTTTATTTGACATTTGTGTACGATGTATATTAAAGAGAAATCGCCACTGTATGTTACATCTTTTGATAAATAGGCAAAAGAAGCATTTTCAACAAAAAAATTTGCGGAAGAAGCCCCACATTTTGCACAATCCTAAGAGTTCACTTCATTTCGTCGAAATCTGAGGTTGTTACTTCTAGTTCATAATTCTTGAGTTGGTGAAATTGAAAAATGCGGATAAACTTTAATAAATAAATTTTTGAAAGCGCATACGAACGCCTTAGGGGAGAATAACGTCGTAGAGAGGGTTACAGTTTTACAACAATGGTTGGTATGGATTTTAAGCAACGCGATTCCACTTGTGTCTCTCTCGGATCGCGCTTGCGAAGGGAGCGCTCGCGTTCCAGTGATTTTGTATGAAGATTGTGGAAAATTTAGGGCTTCTCCCGCAAATTTTGTTGTTGAAAACGCTTAATTAAAGTGCCCTCTAACCTGAATAACGCAATACGTATCTGAAATACTGCTAAAAAACGTGTTTGTACCATAGACGTATGTGTCTTTCTCTCATATGTCAACAAAATAAGAGAGCTACTAAAAGTGTAATTCGCAGAGTGCGGAGCCGAAAGCACGTTTGTATAGTTTGCTAGAAAAATCTACTGTTATTCGGTAGCAGCGCCCTCTGGAGTCTCAATGCAATGTACATTTTAACAGCGAATTGCATTGGTGTTCCGGACCAGCCAATTAGAGCGCCGCTCTTGCCAATTAGTTGAACCCGCCCAGAAGTGATAATTCCAAAATTTCGCAGATAAGTTCACACAAGCCGTGATTATTCGTTAATTCAAGTGTAAACGTGCGTGCTTAATTTTTATCTTCTATTGAAACTGTGATGTCGGCAATTGTAAAAGTTGAAATAAAACAAGAGGAAGAATTAAGTGAATTCATTGAGGAGAAGGTATTTTTCAATAATCATCTCTCTGAAACAATAAAACTTGAAGTTGAGGAGACGAATTCTACTAATCGGAAGGAAGAAAGGGGAGTACAGCAGGAAAATGAATCTGTTGGTGTTAGTTTGCACAAACGTTCTGAAGATCGACTGCAAATTCTGGGAGGTTTAAGTTGTGTCCAGTGTGGTTACACAACCAGTAAGAAATCCAGCTTTAAACGACATCACAAAACACACAAAACAACCACAGATTTAAAATGTGCCCATTGTGATTATGCAACCAATCATAAATCTCACTTGGCAGAGCATCTCCTGACACACAGGATTTTTAAAGATTTAAAATGCAATGTGTGTGATTACGCAACCAATAATAAGACATACTTAAGAATTCATTTGTTAACACATACGGCGGCTAAGGATGTAAAATGTGGCATTATACAACCAACTGTAAACGCAATTTGAGACTTCATCTGTTAAGACACGAGTCTTCCACCCATTTTAAATGTCTCGAGTGTGATTTTGCGTCCACTTACAAATCCAGTTTGAAAAAACATCTATTATCACACAATCCTATGAAGTTTTTAAAATGTGCACAATGTGATTATTCTACTAATGTTAGATGCACATTGAAAAAACATTTGTTAACACACAGCGCTGTGAAGAATTTAAAATGTGTTCAATGCGATTACTTAACCAATAATAAATCCTACTTAAAAAGGCATTTGTTAACACATAAGACTGCTAAGGATTTGAAATGTGCTCAGTGCGATTACACAGCTAATATTAAATCCTACTTAAAAAAGCATTTGTTAACACATAAGGCTGCTAACGATTTCAAATGTGCCCAGTGTGTTTACGTAACTAATAATAAATGGTACTTAAAAAGGCATTTGTTAACACATGAGACTGCTAAGGATTTTAATTGTACTCACTGTGATTACGCAACCAATTATAAATACCACTTTCGAGGTCACTTTTGACACACAAGATTTTCAAGGATTTAAAGTCTGCTCAGTGCGATTATACAACCAACGTTAAACGCAATTTGGCATCTCATTTGTTAACACATGTGTAATAATCTATGTGTTAATTACCGAGATAATACTTTGAAAACGCCCAAGTTTTCCAACCAATTTAAATGTGTCCAGTGTGAGTTTGCTTCCATTTATAAATCCAGATTGAGGAAACATATGTTGGTACACAAGCCAACCAAAAAGACTCAATTGGAATAGACAACCAAAATGTATAAAGTGTAATTACAAAAGAAATAATTTGTGGACACAACAAATTATGAATGTTTTATTTTACATTTGTGTACGATGTATGTGGAAGTAGGTAACAGATTAAACAGACATCTCCACTCTTTATGTTGCATTTTTTGATAAATAGAAGGTTTGTTATGTTATTGTGTAGTTCATAGACCATAGTATGCTTTGCTAATTTGCACTATAACTCAGAACTATTGAAAGGTTCCACCCTGTATATACATCTTGCGACGATACATACATTTTTGAGAGTTGGCAACCAGGCAATTTCTAGGTGGGAAAAAGCTGCCTGCGCCATCTAAAAAGCACGAACGGAGGTTGTGTTGATCATTTTGTCTTGAATGGCGGTCGTGAACGCGTCGCTCCATAAATGTTTGTTGTAATTTTGTGTTTTTTTTAATGCAGGTAGTAATCTTTGCATTTCTTTATATCGTATTTGTGTTTTGTATGCCACATTTTATATTTTGTGTGAGTTTGAATCTTTGTTTTTGACATTTACTTGGTTTAACCGCAATGCATAATCACATTATGTGATACCGTTATGCTATTGTTTGTAATTGTTTACGTTTTTGGTGTAATGCTTGCTTAATTTATGTTTATTGATGTTGATTACTTGGTCTTGTCCCTGAAGTAACATTCATATAAGTTTTAATTTTATTTTAATATGTGGAAATTACCGATTCGTTTGATGGCTTGTTGTTTGTTACTAACAATTTTCTCCGTGAATGTAGCAGTCCCGGGTGACGGGGGTGGTAAAAACTGTAACCATTTGAAGTACGACACCTAATTCCGTGATTGTGTTCGACATTCAACTGTAGGTTCGAAACCCCGTAACCAGGGGCGGGTTACCCATCTTGCAGGAGCGGGATTACGCTAATCAAAGCTCTTCAGTTTAGAATCTATGTGCGATAAATGAGTGGCGATTCAATAATTTCCACATATCTCGTTTTTAGTTAAATTTGCCTACAAGGCCATGTTATTTTCCATTTTGCTTTTAACAAAAGGACTTTATTGCAGCAAAGATGAGTCACCTCCTGTTTTTTCGCCCTTTCATAGAATCTTGGTGTCTGCTTACTTGACCCATAATTCCCAAAAGTTGTTTTTAACCTATATGTTACCCCTTGAAGTTTACCTGCTACTTTTTGTGATGTTATAATTTTATGTTATTCATTCACATCATTACAAACAATTAATTTTACAACACAATTTGATATTAATTTGACGGCTGGTTTTTTTTATTGGTAAGTCCTTTTTCCCCAGCCTATTTCTATTTTTATTCGGTGACGGGTGAACTACCATTTTCAAAGTTTATTTTTGCAATGTAATTTATTTCGACTTAAATTTCCGAGCTTTCATAATCTTAATAATTGCGATCATCAAATCATCAAAATAAAATAATTTCAAATCAAGTGTCAGCGGCCAGGTTGTTAAACCTTGAGTGAAATTGTCACCAACATAACGACAGTAACTTTTTATTTGGCCAACTGAACGTCAGTTTGACATGTCGGGAGTTTAGTGAATACATCTGCAAAGATAGTTCTTCCTACTATAGTTTCAAAGTTGTTGAACGCGCCCATTCTTTTGATGTATACACTGTACAACACCATTGACGAAACTATTATTGTTTTCTTCTTGATCGATGGAAAACTTTATTTTACAAACAAGGAAGTTGTCGTTGATAAGTTCACACAACACAATTAACTATTCGTTAATTCCTATCCTTTATCTTGCACGTACAGAGTGACCTTTGTTGAGTTTGTAAAAAACTGTGATGTCAGCAATTGTAAAAGTTGAAGTTAAACAAGAGGAAGAATTAAATGAACTCATTGAGGAGAAGATTTGTCTCAATAGTGATGTCCCTGAAACAATAAAACTGGAAATTGAGGAAACGAATTCTTCTAATGTAAAATGTAATTGGAAAGAAGAAAGAAAATTACAGGAGGCAAATGAATCTGTTGGTTTGCACAAACGTTCTGAAGATCAACTGCAAATTTCAAGAGGTTTAAGTTGTGTCCAATGTGATTACACAACGAGTAACAAATCCAGCTTAAAAAGACATCTAATAACACACAAAGCAACCAAAGATTTAAAATGTGCAAAATGTGATTATGCAACCAACTATAAAGGTAATTTTAGAACTCATCTGTTACGACACGAGTCTCCCAACCAGTTTAAATGTGTCCAGTGTGATTTTGCATCCACTTACAAATCCAGCTTAAAAAAACATATGCTATCTCACAATCAAATAAAATATTTAAAATGTGCACAATGCGATTACGCTACCAATTCTAGACCCACCTTCAAAAAACATCTGTTAACACACAGCATTGTGAAGGACTTAAAATGCAATCAGTGTGATTACTTAACTAATAATAAAGACTACTTAAGAAGGCATTTGTTAACACATAAAGCTGCCAAGGATTTCAAATGTGGTCAGTGTGATTACGCAACCAATAATAAATCCCACTTCAGAGGTCATCTCCTGGTGCACAAGGCTTTCAAGTCTTTAAAGTGTGCTCAGTGTGATTACGCAACCAATAAAAAATCTCGCCTTGGAGATCATCTCCTGACTCACAAGGTTTTTAAGGACTTAAACTGTGCACAGTGTGATTATGCAACCAACAGTAAACGCAATTTGAGAGCTCATCTGTTAACACACCAGTCTTCCAGCTGTTTTAAATGTGACCAGTGTGATTTTGTATCCACTTACAAATCCAGTTTAAAAAAACATATGTTGTTACATAAACCTATCAAAGATTTAAAATGTGCACAATGTGAATTCGCAACTAACTCTACGTCTACCTTTAGCCAACATCTATTGACACACTGCACTGCGAGGGATTTAAAATGCAAACTGTGTGATTACTCAACTAATAATAAATACTACTTCAGACGGCATTTGGTAACGCATAAAGCTGCTAAGGATTTTAAATGTGCTCACTGTGATTACGGAACCAACGACAAATCCCACTTTAGAAACCACCTCCTGACACACAAGATTCTTAAGGAGCTTAAATGTGCTCAATGCGATTACGCAACCAATCATAAATACCGCCTTAAAGATCATCTCGTGAAACACAAGGTTTGCAAGGATTTTAAATGTACTCAGTGCGATTTCGCAACCAACAATAAACCGCGCCTTAGAGATCATCTATTGACACACAACATTTTCAAAGATTTCAAGTGTACACAGTGCGATTATGCAACGAACTTCAAACGCAATTTGAGAAGTCATCTGTTAAGACACGAGTCTCCCAAGCAATTTGAATGTGTCAAGTGTGATTTTGCGTCTATTTATAAATCCAGTTTAAAAAAACATTTGTTACTACACAAGCATGTAAAGAGTTTAAAATGTGCACAGTGCGATTACACTACTAATCTTAGGTCCACCTTAAAAAAACATCTTTTAACACACAGCACTGTGATTAGTATGATTATTTAACTAATTACTTAAGATAGCTTTTGTTACGAATTTCAAATGTGCTTGGTGTACCACCTGTAAATATGATTTTAAGACATTCTGTTAAGATTTTCAAACACTTAAAATGTGTCTAATTCCATTTTTCAATTTGAGGAAACATCTCCGGACACAAAATATTGTGAATATATGTCAATTTGTCATTTTTGTTTCTTGTCACAGTTGTGTATTAATGTTGTATCTATAAGAAGTAACGATTAAACAGAAACCGCCTTTGTGCCACTTGCCAGTGTATGGAATAGTGGGTGTGAGTTGGGCCCGTGGATTGTGTCACCGTCTAGCTTCATGAAGAATTTCCAAGAAGTCCATCAATTGCATCCACACTACTCCAATCACAGGCTTTTGTTTGGGCTGCGCTCAAGATTTCTAGTGGGTTAATGTCCAACTCGACTCTTCTTTTAAGTAAAAAAAAAACAAATTGTAAAGTAGTTGAATGCGCCCATTTCGCGCACGAATGCTAGGAGCTGAAACCAATTATTATTTCCTTCCCTTTCTGACCTATAGAAAACAGCATTTTACAAACAAGACCGATGTCGTTGCTATGTTCATAAAATGCCCGCTTGACATGGAGCAATAAAAATTGCAATTGCATGCAAGTTGCAAGAAAAATTGCGAAAGGCATGCGCAGTTCAAAGCCAGCTGATCAATTGCTGCAAGAGACTTGCATGCAATTTTTATAGGACCGGTGCTATTTTTCTTGCATGAATCGTGCAATTCTAGGGATAAATCTAGTTGTTTTTGTGGCACCAACCTAGTAAAATACAGCGGCGGCAACTGTGATGCTGAGAGACGCACTCATTACTTGTTTTTACTAATCTTATTTATTCTTGTAATTTTCATGTTTCTTCAAGCAATCAAAATTTAATTTTCATTTGAGGTTAACAACTTTGTTGACAAATCCATATGTTTCTTCTGTTGGCAGACATGTGGCAATTGAAATAGAATTGCACCATGTCAAATACCATGCAATGCTTATTGCATGCAAGGATTTGACCTTGCAATTTCTTTCTGCAAGTTCTTGCGCGTAGTATTGCTCCATGTCAAGCGGCCTTAAGTAACGTGTTTGTGAAAAAAAAACTGTAATGTCGACAATTGTAAAAGTTGAAATTAAGCAAGAGGAAGAATTAAATGAATTCCTCGAGGAGGAGGTTTTTCGTAACAATGACTTCTCTGAAATAATAAAAGTGGAATTTGAGAAAACTAGTTCTTTTAATGGCAAAGAAGAAAGGAAAGTAGAGCAGGAAAATGAATCTGTTGGTGTTGTTTTGCACAAACCTGAGGATTTCCCATACACTAATCGACCGAAAATTTCAAGAGGTTTAGGTTGTGTCCAATGTGGTACCACAAGTCCGAACAAATCCGACTTTAAAAGACATTTACTAACACACAAAGCGAGCAAGGATTTAAAATGTGCCCATTGCGATTACGCAACCAATATTAAATACTACTTAATAGAGAGATATGGAAAAATTAAATAGCGCCTGTATACGCTAATAACGCCATGCGCTATTAAGTTAACGTCATGCGGTAAATGTGGCTGTTTTAAGAGATATGGAAACTACATACTGGCGTGACGTTATTTATAACATTCATAACCTATCTTTTATAATTGTCAGAGTTTATTATTGGTTAGCTATTTCATTTTCGATATTGTTGATTATTTACTTATTACGACCACTACCACTAGGACTGCTCATGGCTTATGAAGAATGAAATATATATTTTTTTTAAAACACTAGTTTCTCTTAACCTCAAAAATTCTAAACATCTATCTCTGCGCAGAACCTAACGATGCGGTATTTGAAATAGCGCACAGCGTTATCCCTCCGTAAATAACGTCAAGCGCTAACGGTAATAACGTTAGTTACTATAAAAATCAAATCGCGCATACCTTTAATGTCAAAATAGCGCTACCCGTTAATACCGCTAGATGTGGGCGAAGGACCCATATCTCTCTAATAAGGCATTTGTTAACACACAAGACTGCCAAGGATTTAAAATGTATACAGTGTGATTTTGCAACCAATCGTAAAGACAATTTGACAACTCACCTTATGTCTGCGAACCATTTTAAATGTGTTCAGTGTGATTTTGTATCATTTTACAAATCCAGTTTGAAAACACATCTGCTAAGACACAGTACTATGAAAGATTTCAAATGTGCTCAGTGTGAATATGCAACCAATAATAAATTCCACTTCAGAAGTCATCTCTGGATACACAAGAAGTTAAAATGTGCTCAGTGTGATTACTCAACCATTAATAAAGTCCACCTTAACAGTAATCGCCAGGCACACAAGATTTCTATGGATTTCAAATGTAGACAGAGTGATTCTGGGACGGACCATAAAAGTTCTTTGACAACTCACAAGTCTGCCAAGCATTTTAAATGTGTTCATTGTGATTTTGATTTCACTTTATAGATCCAGTTTGAAAAAACATCTGTTGACACACAGGGTGAAGAATTTAAAATGCAATCAGTGTGATTACTTAACTAATAATAAGGTCTACCTACGAAGGCATTTGTTAACACATAGAGATGATACGGATTTTAACTGTTCTTTGACAACTCGCAAGTCTGCCAGTCATTTTAAATGTGTCCATTGTGATTTTGTTTCCATATATAAAGCCAGTGTGAAAAAACATCTGTTGACACACAGAGTGAAGGATTTAAAGTGCAGTCAGTGTGATTACTTAACTAATAGTAATGTCTACTTACAAAAGCATTACTTATCACATAGAGCTTATAAGGATTTTAAATGTGCTCACTGTGATTACGCGACTAATCATAGAGTGCGCCTTATAGATCATCTCGTGAGACACAATATTTTTAAGTACATAAAATGTACACAGTGTGATTATGCAACCTACTGTGAAAGCACTTTGAGAACTCACGAGTCTTCCAGACATTTAAAATGTGGCCAGTGTTATTTTGAAACCACTTACAAGTTCAGAATGGACAAACATCTGTTGTCACACAAGACAACCTAAAAGATTTAGAATGCACTTAAGGTGGATATGTAACCAGTAATAAGTATCATTTTGTGGTGCTCTTTTCTCTTGACGCTATTCTAAAACTCCCAAATTTGCGGGTTTTTAGTATAAATTAAGAATAAATGAACTTTTGGCCATTGCAGCGATTTATTTCAGCTTCGTTCTCCGTGTAACGTGGGGGTCCTGGTCAGGGTTCTACCAGAGACGATCCGATCAGGTGTCATACCCTCGGATTCAAATTTTTTCAACGTTGCCACAATGGCTCTTGCCTTTGTCATGTTAGCATTAGGGGTTGGAACCACAGAGTTGTATATATGTAAATATACAACATATAAGTAAATATATAATTCTGGAACCCATATGAAATATAGGTTCTGGTTCTGCACTACTTATGTAGAATAATTTTTTAATGGTTCCGGTTCTGTGACTTCAGTCATTTTCGGTTCCAGTTTTTTTTGTCGGTTTTTAAGGGTTCCAATATAAATAAATAAATTTTTTTTTAGTATCAATTGATTTTATTTAAATATTATAGAAAATAAACCATACACACAATTAAAATACATTGCTCTTGCTACCTATACAGGGTGTTAAGTAATTGAGTGCCTATCGAGGACCTAAGGAGAAAAGTTGATATCAAACTACGTCCTAAACCTCTCAGTTTTTGAGCTACAGGGTGTTAAAATTTTAAGAAAAAAGTGAGTTTTTTATCAATTGTTATCACTCTTAGATATTTTTATGAAATTTTGTACACACCTTTTCATCATTAAGGAGTATTTTTTGACGTAAAGGATTTTTTTACATTTTCATCAGCGACGTCCGTCCGGGGTTTGAACTTACAAACAATTGTACGCCACTAAGTTTGCTAAAAACGAAAACTCTTTTTGAAATCACTATTTATTTTGGAGCAAATTTGGTCCCTAGACTTACTTTCGTACGACGTACTGATTTTGTCGAAAAAAATAAAAACCAAGCCAAGGGTAAAAAGAGCACGACGGAGAAAAACCTCGCAGTTTGATTAATACAGTCCAAAAGTTAGTTAACAAAATCATTTGTAAAATTATCAAGTTTAAGTAGTGGTTAACAAAGATAGTAAGTACATATACACGTTGGTTACACTCAAGGTTAAAAACAAATTTTGGGAACATTGGGTCAGGTACCTAAATTCTGAGCAAGGGCGAAGAGTACAGGATGTGACTCATCTTTGGTGCAATCAAGGAGTAAGATGGAAAATACATGGCCTTGTAGACAAATTTAACTAACGACAAGATATGTAATGATCTTAGCCTTGGGCCCGTGCATATTTGTGCCACTCCGTCTAGCTTCATGAAGAATTTCCAAGAAGTCCATCAATCGCAGCCACTACTCCAATCACAGGCTTCGCTGTTAGAATACACTGTTTACTTATTTACTAAATTATTAATTATTTTTAATTACTGAATATCAAAGTGTGTGTGTAAAATAATAGATGTAAGTTTTTATCTGTCATTGTGTATCGCATTTTTGTAATTTAGAATTATTTAATTGTTCCTGTTGAATTAATATAAATGTTGCTTTTTTACTGTTTTCCACATTAAACCTTTGGGATGCGTTCAAGATTTCTAGTTGGTTAATGTACAACTCGACTTCTTTTATTGGTAAATAAAAATAAACAAATTACAATTGCAAAGTAGTTGAATGCGCCCATTTCGCACACGGCTCAAAGGAGCTGAAACCAATTATTATTTCCTTCCCTTTCTGACCCATTGAAAATTTTACAAACAAGACAGATGTCGTTGTTATGTTCACATGTCACTTGATAATTTGAAGTAACGTGTTTGTAAAAAAAAATTGTTATGTCGGCGATTGTAAAAGTTGAAATTAAGCAAGAGGAAGAATTAAATGAATTCCTCGAGGAGGAGGTTTTTCTTAATAATGACGTCTCTGAAACAATAAAAGTGGAATTTGAGGAGACTAGTTCTTGTAATGTGATACATAGTGGCAAAGAAGAAGAGCAGGAAAGTGAATCTGATGGTGTTATGTTGCACAAACCTTTTGAAGATTTCGCACACACTAATCGACCGAACATTTCAAGAGGTTTACGTTGTGTCCAATGTGGTACCACAAGCACGTACAAATCCGACTTTAAAAGACATTTACTAACACACAAAGCGAGCAAGGATTTAAAATGTGCCCATTGCGATTACGCAACCAACATTAAATACTACTTAATAAGGCATTTGTTAACACATAAGACTGCTAAAGATTTAAAATGTGCCCATTGCGATTACGCAACCAATATT